CGAGAAATCAAAATGCCACTTTGCGCCGCAATTTGTCCATGCGTTTCCACATCGCGCTGGCATATTACCCCTTTTTTCCCCGTGCATAAAACTACTCGAATTACGAGCTCCTCTCGCGAGAAACAGTTTCTTATTTTTAACGCCACGTCGTGTGAAACATTATGAATTCGAGACTGCAAGACAGAATATTTATTTGATTTATTTTTTAAGTTTCCGTTTTTACGTATCACCAGAAAGTTCTTATATGTTTCGTGTTTTTTAAAACGAAAATTTTATTTTATTTTCAATAAAAAACTTTTGCTTTTTTTCGCACGTTAAATAAGCTATTTTATTGTTAGACCATCGAGACATTTGTAAGAATTGTTGAGAAATTTTATTATTATTATATGTCTATATTTTATATTTAAGTCTTTTTGATCATTGACTCTTATATGCCCTTTACTTAGATTTTTATTTTTATGTTATAACAAGAGTCTTTACATACAATTATTTTTATAAGCTATTTTCTAAATTGTATCGTGCATTACATAACACCATATATAGGTGAAGAAACTTAACGTCATTTAAATTTCGTTTCATCAAAGGACTAAGCGCTTCATTAAAGGACTTTTAAAACGCACAGTTTCGAGCGGCGACAAACCATCCGCTTTAGGAAGTAGATCTCCCCTCGAAGCGGAGAGAGCAACATCGGGTGCCGCCGACGCTACGCGGTCCTCTTGTCGTCTAATTGAATGGCATTTTATTTAGCACAGTTCCCCGCACTCTGGATAGCCGCTATTTACCTCAATTACGTAATTCACCGTACACAACCGGCCGCGCAGCTATCCACCATAGGCATCGCATCGCATGGTGATGGTAGTAGTGGTAGTGTCGATGGTGGTGGTAGTCGACTGATGACACGTGTTTGCGCTACCGCCGCCATGCAATTAGCCCCCAATGTAATTTCGCGCCATAAGAGCGTGCCACGCTCTTTTGGCCTAGTGCCGTTCCCGCGGGCGCATCGGTACACCGGTATTATGAAGAGGGAAGTGATTTCGTTCGGGACACACGTAAGGAAATTTCAGCCTCGTGCCGTCTTCGTATTTTGTATTCGACGCGTTTTTGTATATTCATCAGATTAATTCGTCATTAACATCAATTTTCATCGTCAATATCCGTTTTGCACACCGCGCGCTTTTAAAATTAATATTACTTCGAAAGTACAATAATTCTTAATAGTTTGCTGTAGGAATTTCTCTCCTGTATATTTACATCTAATTTTCAAAAAACTTTCAATCCAATTCATAGAAAAGTGTGAGCGTCTATTCACAATAACGTATGTTTGGAAAAATAAATATTAGCATTTATATATTTTTATTTCTTATATATTAAATATGTTATTTATGTGTGAAATATAACTGATGCGTTCTACATCAATATAGGATTGTATTGGAATGCAAAAACTATAAGGTACTTTAAAGTTATATTACTTATATTATTTCTTTAAATATATTTAAAATGTCGTTACAAACATAAAATAGAATTCTGCATAAACTTTTTTATATTACCGGAATTTTTAAATAAACATATATAAACATTTCTTAAAATATATTCACATTTTCTTCGACATTTATATAGTTAATTATTTATTATCAATAAAATTTTGTAATTAAATTCTTCAATATATCTGAAATAAGTCCTCGTGTAATTGAAACATCGTCTGTATGCCAGCGAAACGTGACGCAATGTTAATAGATGATATATAATTTAGCGACTAATATCATTGTAAAGGATAACCGCGCTCAAGACAGTAATTGTGCTTGCTCTGTCTGATTAAGCATAATTATAATCCAGAAAGAAATGTCTCTAGGTCACTATGCTACGACGATCAATTCCTGTTTAAACCGCATTTCGCGTCGTGTAGGTATATTTTTAAGATATGACTGAAATTTTTAATAAATTTATTTTTGCATATTCTCAATAAACTAATAAATAAATAAATATTTTATATTTATTTACTTAAATTAGCGCTTAAATTAATGAAATAATTATCACCGTTCCCCTATACTTATTTAAAATTTTTTAATTTAAATTAATAATATCGAAATAGTATATTTGATGTGATAAATATATATCTAACCATCGTAGATTTCATGTTTAACAATCGTATAAATACAATCAAAAGTACAATTAATATTTTTAAAAAATGTTTTAACAAGTCACTTAACGAAGTATATCAGATTATGCAGAAAATGTTTTACTCGCTCATTTATCATTAGTCATCCGTGAGAAAAGAGCTCAGCCAGGCGGCACATAATAAAAAGTTATTAATTTTAATTACAAATGTAAAGAATCAATGAAATCATATCTAATCACAATTTATATTATGTTAATTACACTAATAAGTTACATATAACATGGAGATCATGATTAATAAATGTGTGTAAGTACATACAATTAAACTATCCATGAGTCTAATCTATCTTTACGAGAGTTTCACGACGCATTTGTAGATATCGGAAAAAAGATTCGCTTTATTAATTTGTATGATCGCCTCATTTTTTATTCTTCATACTGAAAATTTTTTATATCATTGCTATTGTTGCGTACATATATTGTTTGATACAATTAGATTAATTAAATGCAAAACAAATAACCTTTATATACACACACAATGACTATTATATAATTATTTAAACTGTTTTTATAAAATTCTCATAATGACACTATATATTATAATAATGTACTTAATAGTATTATACATATAATTTCAGATGTAACAACAATAGCGATTCATGATCGAATACAATTTATAAATCATCGCATAAATAAAAAAGATAAGTAATTTTTCAAATAGCATTATCAACACATTGATGCAAAGACTATCTTTTGAGATTTAATCGGCGAGAATTATTATCAAATCTATTGACACTTTATTATCGCCAACCTCATCATTGATGCAATCACAACGGCGTATACTTCGAAGCAACAAAAAGAGGAAAAAAATATCACGCCTTTTTCCTATACACTCCATCTTTTACCAAGAGTAGACGCCCTTCGTATTGGATTAATGGGCGGAGCGAAGGACGTCCTTTACTGCCAAAGTGTCGTGACAATGTTTGCACGATCAGCCGAAAAACCATAATCTGCTAAAATTTCGATCGGAATGCACCACATTTTAATGATCAATCTAGACGAGTCAAAAGAAGATTGTATCTTAATAAAGGTCACATATCGCAATCTATAAAGAAAGACTTAACACATATTTCTTTGAATAGTATTAAGTAAATATTTACTTACAGTAAGTAAATATTCACCCAATATAAAATAAAAGTTAAATCGAATTAACGGTTCTTGTATCAAATAAATATATGTTTACATTTAGTAAATATTTATTTAGAACTATTCAGACAAATATTTATTAAAATTTAGTATCGTTTTTTCATTAGAAAGTAATGGCTAACTATTTTGAATAGTAAAAGCACCGTATGTATCATGCAATGCTTGTAATACTTAAAATAAGTAATTAATTATTATCTTTTAATAATAAATCGGCCAATAATAAATTGGATTTCTATAAGGGTTAAATATTGAAAATTTTCTATAAAAATAGTTGATACGCATAGTAGTTATTTAAAAATTTATCGCGATCCCAAGTTTAGTACGTTGTGGATACTTACATGTTTATCTGTATTTACATATCATTTACGCTCATATGCATATATTTTGGTGAGCGACAGATATTTGAGTTAAAGTAGAAACAAGATACAAACTGATTGAAAAATAAAAGGATCAAGAGATGAATAAAAGTAAAAAGTACACACTTACATGTGTTTTGATAAATGTAAAATATATATAAGCTAGCGAAAATTAAAGTTTATTTTTTATTTATAGTATTTAATTTAAAAAAGGGATTCATAAATTGATATGTTAGCACTAATGATTATCCTTCATAATAAAAAGGCGGACAACTATGTTTATAGGTTTCATGAAATCAGAAATCTGAAGAATCGGCAAATTTTTTTAGAAGTGAAAGAAAAAATATTTCTCTCAAAAAAAATAATTTTAAGTGATAATACGTGAGCAAAATGAATCATTGCAACGGATGTATAATAAAGTAGCACAGCGAAAAATAGAACATCAAAAAATTAAGTCAGTTGGCTTCATATTACTGAAAATCTTATTGACCTTGATTTTTTATTCCTTCAGGATCTACTGATTTTGCCTCGTTGCTAAGATACTAAGACATTTATTACCAAAAGCAAAATTAAAAAAATAATTATGATATAAATTTGGACCGATAAGAATAAATGTAATAATTAAATAAGAGAGAAATCCCATATTTATTCGAAAATAGAGTCTTAGTGTTTGAATATTTCTGTGTGAATTTAATTCTGAATTTATATACATATCGTATCTGAGGAATTTAAAAGATTATTTTTGAAAAATTTGGCGAGAGAGAGAGAGAGGGGGGAGGGAGGGACAATTAGACAGACAAACCAATACTAAAATTATAAAGTAGCTTGTCACGTTGCACTACTTAATAAACGCAAATGCAATTTTTTCTATTGCTAAAAATAGATGCAATTATGAACAAAAAAATTTTTGAAAAAATAGAAACTAATAGACTCTTTGTGCTCGTATTTAAGACTGTCAGTTTTAGAAAAGTATCACTAACATACGCTCATCCAAACTCAACTGAACAATCGGAAAGTCAAGTATTCAACAATTGGAACGTCACTCATCTCTCACCTCCTGTCACAGTGAGTCTGATAGTGCGATTTATTCAGTGAATCAAGTAAGTTAAAAAGAATAAACAGACGCAATTCTGCGACGCGTAATTCGCTGATGTCTCTAGTCTTCCTCGAGTATATCTCCGACGATATCAGTTAGACCTAATACGCGCGACGAACGGACTTCCCCAGATATACAGAACACCTTCGCGTCGTCGGTCGCCCCGAGGGCGTCCGGGTGTACATGGGCGTGGTTATTCCCCAAGCAACTCCCATTTGGACACCATAATGGCCTCCGCAGAGCCAATCGCCGTCGCGGATTTCATATACAATTGGTGGGGAGTAGGACGACGTGCCAATCGTAAAGGTGGCTGTCGGTCGTTGTAGGCGTGGCCTTGAGTAGCGCCACCGCGGCGACTTTCAGAAACGGTGAACCGGGCTCCGGGGAGAGGCTCCGGCTTCATTATGTATCATTATACCGGTCCGCGCCGCGCGGTGTGCACTGCAGTTACTGGAACCAGGCGCGCGTGTGTGCTTTTCTCTCTTCTTCTACGCCCTGGTCTCTCGTCGTCGTCGTCTTCTTCTTCCCTTACCTTACCTTCTTCTTCGTCCAGCCGGTACGGAACCCGCGTATACGTCGAGCGTGCACGATACGTCTCGTCGGCCAAGTAATCGTGGCACGACGCGTGTAAAAACCATATCGTGTCGCTGAGGAAGTGCGCGAGCGCGCGCTCGGTGTCGCGTTTGTATCTCGGCGCGGTGCAATTAAATTGGAGAACGTTGGAACGCGAGTGTTGGGATACACGACTGCGATAGGATTTTCGGCTCCGACCGTGCGGAACGGAGCCGGATCGGAGAGGATCTCAGTCCCATCCTCGCGCTTGCCATCCATCATCCACCGCGCGGATGATCGCGGACCTTGACGCGGTGACGTTTCGTGACGTTCGTTCGGCGGAGTCGAGACTGTGTTGAAAAGTGATCGAGTGAGACGTTCTCTCTTCGACTGGTGTAAACGTTTGTAACGTGAGTGAAAAAGACGGATATGCCGACGGTCTGGTCACGCCGTCGCGGCGCGTCTCTGTTTGAAAGCCGAGCGACGACGAGCTGACGCACGGCAGCAGCCGAACAATAGCATCGACGGATTCTTTCGTCCGACACAGTGTTTCCGCGAGGACTACGCGTGTGAAGTGTGGACGGTGTGACAAGTGGTGTCCGAACTGATAAACAAAAGCATCCAGAAGGTGAGCCCGACGGATACGTGCAACAGAGGCCGCCTTGAAACAGCCAAAAGTGTGAATCCCGCAGTGCGAGTCCCTTGGGAAAAGAAAGGAGAAGTCCGTGATAGTGCAACTTGAGGAAAGTGTCGAACGATCACCCAAGTGACATTCCCGTCTTCAGCTCCGCAGTGTAAATTCTAGAAGAACTCTGAGCTGGAATTCGAAAACGCCGAACCGCGACGGGTAGAAGTGAACTCTCGCGATCAGATGACGACTTTCCGCGCTCGTTCCGACACTCGGTCGACATAAATCGTACACGGGCGGTGTGTGCTCGTCCGTCTAGAGAAGTCCCAAAATTCGGGCCCCGTACGGAGGAGGGCACGCGACGGTCGCGGCGGCGACGACGTCGGCGAGGACCGTGGGCGGCGGCATCGACGTTGTGTCTAAGGTGGAGCGTCCGGGCAGCACGACGACGCTCAATTTCACGGATCTGGGGAGCCCATTCGGGGCGGGCGACCCCTGTCCGTCGAGTACCCCGACCCCGAACAGCATGTCGGGCGGCGGTGGA